TGGAACAATGTTTTGTATAGTATGTTATGCCAATTGAGCTTGATGTCCCCTGTGACTATGGTCTCAAGCCCACAGGTTCAACTACTCGGTCCCTCTGGGTAGTTGGCTGTGACCAAGCCGTGACCACATGTATTGAAGATTTTTGTGTCTATAGGCATAAGGGATGGTGGTCTGTTATTTTTATTTCTTGTGATGTCTTTTACTGGTGTAGCACAAGGGTAAACTGGTTTCATAGAATTAGTTGGAAAATATTGCTTTTTATTCCATTTTTTTTTGGTGGGGGGAAGAATTTGTGAAGTTTTGCTCTTAACTAGTATTTTTTGTGAAGTTTTGCTCTTAACTAATATTTTTAAGTATTTGATAAGATTAACTACTGGAATAACCTGGTCCTGGGCTGACTCCTCTTCTACAATTGACAGTTTATTTTACAGAGGATATGAGAAGCAGTCACAAACTTTTTACTTTATGGTTTTTGTTTGGATATTGTCATGGTTTTAGATGAAAAGTGTGAATGAAATCCTTTTCAGTGTAAAATTAATAAAAAATAAGATATACTAATCAATAAGATGAAAGATTGGTTATTCATAGTGAAATACATCAGTGATTAGAAGAAGAATATCCATCATATTTATTTTAAAAAAAGAAAAAAAAATGAATGATTTTAACTCAAGAAAAACAAACATTTTGAGTTAGTAAGCTAAAACAATTCACTGAGTTGTATGTGTCATGCAGCCAAGTATAGCTCTCTTAAAAGAAAGCACTGTTCTTACTCAGAGAAAAAATGTATCTATAGAACTGCAGAGATTTATATTGACAAATTATTATAAGAATCTAAGAAATTAAATATAAGAACACAAAATGAATATTTAATTTGAGTAAATTCAGCCTGTACCTAAGCTGTTTACACATACCTAGAGCTTGAAGTGGGAGAAAAATATCAGTAACTTTAATGTCATAATTTTACCAATATGACCAAAAAAGTCAACTCAAATATTTAGATGATCCTTAGACACAACAGAATCATCAATTTGTGTCATCAAATTATTTTGACCTAAAAATCTGCTATGCAGCCCCTAATCAACAGAAGACTACATAGTCCTTGAGTTGTACATCTTACTCCCTCCCCAAAACCTAGAATGCAAACTACCTAGCCATTTTATTTTCCCTTGTTAATCTTTGTAAAAACTTGCACATGAATAAATAGGGGTTCTTCTGTGACTCTTAGACTCATTTTAGCTGTATTTAGCTCCTGGTCCTAAGGCATTAAAAACACCACTCTAATCTATTACATGGGTAGCTTCTGAAAATATTACTGATGTTTTTATTCATTATATGACTAATGATATATCAAATAAGAATTGAGGTAGACAGAAACAGCATGTGGATTTATTAAAACTGTAAAATAAAGAAGCTGAAATTTATATTAGATGTTGATGTAATATTGAAAAATAATTAATGCTGAGGGCGGGGGAGTGGAACTAGAAGAGACAGACAAGAACAGAGAGAGAAGAAACATTAATTTTTACGATGCTATTTACTAAGAACTTTTTAACCTGGAATCAACATTTCAATTGAAATTCCATGTATGGAATTTTCAATACCAAGTTCAGAGCAATAGAGAACATGCATAACGTCATCTAACACACACTGAATGCAGAGAGCAGATTCAATATCAGAAACATTTTCAGAGCCTTCTATATTCTGCTAATTCTAAAATCTGGGCATTGTTTTCTTCCTATCATAAACAAAGCCCAGTGCAGCAAATTTAAGTAGCTATATATCAATTTTCTCCATTTCTGAAATAGTCATTTTACTGGGGTAAATGACCTCATTCAACAGCTACATGTTAGACACTGACTCTCCTAAGAGAGGACCTTTTCTTCCATGTGGGTACAGTGTTTTGAGAGGATTTTACAAAGAGAAAAAGAGCTGATTTGTGAAGGAAAACATCAAAGCTTCTTTTCACTAAATGAAAACAGTAGAGATCAAAACAGATTGCAACACCAACCTGAGCCTTTGTAGAAGTCCATGTTAGCAGTGCATGACAAGCAGAAAGGAAAGAAAATTTATACGCATTAGTTGAGCTGCTATTATAAAGCGAATTTGAAAAAAGTAGAAATCCTTTTCCCTTGTTATTCAAAATTAACGGCCACATTTCATCTAAAACTTGAAGTTTCCCTCCTAGTTCTCAAGCAAAAGACCCCCTCTAAATGGATATCAAACACATGACTGTGTGGGAATAAAGACCACACAGATCTGAAAAGGTTGAACAGTTTTCTACCAGCTGTCCTATGGCTATGAGAGGTTATTCCTAAGATTAAGAGTTTAAAGAAATGAAATAAATCTCTGAAGTTTATCTCAAGCTCCCTAAGAATTATCACAGTCACAGCTTCTCAATCATGGCCTAAAAAGACAAAGCATTATTATTTTTGAAGTATAACAGCATAAACAGACTAGAATAACTCTTAGAAAGTGGATTCCGTGATCTCTGCCCCTACTGTCTCTCTCTTGCCCCAACTTTTCTTAACCTTACCATAATTTTAATTTTCAAACTTATTCTAGTGCTTATTTAAATATTTTCATCTGTATAACTTGACAGTATGCTCCCTGAGGGCAGGGTCAGTATTTAGTGTTTTAGTTCATCACCTTATTCTCAATTATTTAACTCAGTGTTGGCAGAGAGTAGATATTTCAAAAATATCTGTACAGATGAATGAATGAAAGAGGTCCCATGGCAATGTAAATAACATGATTTAGATACATCTGAAAAAAATATAATCCAAATTTGATACACATTTTCAATTGGAACTCAAGTTTTACTCGTTTTGTGTAATATGTCTGAAATTTCAATTTGCAGATTAGTTCCACAGGAACTAAGGTGGGTAGGTCAATAAAATATTATTCATTTAACTGACATCTTGGGATTCTTAATCACATTTGAGCCACATCAACATTATAATCTGTAAATAGTAGTTGTTTTCAGTGAGAACTCACAGAACCCAGAGGGCTTCACAAACTTATCAGGTGGCCAGAGTTATCAACACAGTTTCAAAACATTATTAAAACTGATATATTTGGGAGCTATAAGATTATACAGGAGCTCTGGTAGCATAGTGTCTAAGGCACTTGACTGCTCACCAGAAGGCTGGCGGTTCAAACCCACCAGCCACTCCTCGGAAGGAAGGTTGGACAACCTACTTCCGTAGTGATACTGCCTCAGAAACCCAAGGAGGGGTCCTATGAGTTGGGGCCGACTCGACAGCAAACAACAACAACATACGATTATACAGGGTAATCAAAAGAAGAATTTCTTTGCCTTTAGAGAGAAGTATAAAAATGTTAAAACTACTTAATGTTAAGAAATCCAAGAAAATTGTTGACATCAGAGAAATGTCTCCATGATAACTGCTAGACAATTAATTTAGAGCTAAGTAATTAATGTGCAATGAAAAATATACCCATGATTATTTTATTACACATTAGTATCACATCTGGGAGCTCTGGTAGTGTGGTGCTTAAGGCACTTGATTGCTAACCAGAAGGCTGGCAGTTCAAACCCACCAGCCCCTCCTCGGAAGGAAGGTTGGGCAATCTACTTCCGTAGTGATACTGCCTTGGAAACCCAAGGAGGGGTCACTATGAGTCGGTCCAACTGGACAGCACACAACTGCAACAAGTATCACATCGATGGTAATTATGCACATGCTGTCTTAACATTAGTATCAAATCTTGATGATTTCTGCACATGGATTGAAATCCACATCAATGAACAGAGAAATGTGGGTGTATCTCTTACAGAAATATATAGTGGGCGTATCAAAATGCATTATTGAAGTTAAAGGCTAAGAATTTTCTCAGTGCATGTTAATGGGTAGTTTCTTTGATATAGATGATTAACTTTCAATAGGGCAATAAATAAAAGCAATCAAAAGCATTTCTTTGCCATTTCTAAGACACTTACTAAAGAACTTTTCCAAAACACTAATAATCATATTAGATATGGAAATTTGAATACACTTTGACAAATTAAGTTGTTTTCCTGAAATTATATACAAGCTGCCCCTGGGCTGCTAACACTGGACTTACTTACAATGTATAACTTTGAGCCCACCCTTGCAAAGCCTTCCTTCTCCCTCCTGGCTCCAAGCCAGAAGGAAATGATGTGCTAATGCCTGGTTAATCATTGCTCCAGTCACTCATGTGGAATGCTCAGCAGCCACTTCCTCCTTCTCTCACCTCTTGCATCTTTTCAGTGCCAATATAAAAAACCCCAAAACCAAATTCCCCTTGTGCCTGGGAAAACTTTTCTACTTTCTGTGACCTTCTCCAGTGCCGCCTGGGGCAAATCCGTAGCTACTTCTCACTCCTCCCACAACTATCTTCCCTGTCCCTCTGGCTTCAGTAAGTTTATTCCACCAGCCTTGTGCCCCTTCATCCTCCTCCTCTTCACCTTACCTTCCCTCCCTCCCTCTGTATCTTTTCTAGGGATGGTTGCGGCTGCTACCACTGCCATTGCCACCCTTCTCTTTGGCCAGTTGCTCTGAGGGCTGGGAAGCCCCTGGCTCCTAGCACCACTGTGCAGCAGCCATCACCACTTGTGGCAGGCTGCTAGCCTGTGGCCCCAAAGAGTCACTGGCTTCCCGATGTAGTGCCTAAGACATTTGCCTACTAACCAGAAGGCTGGCAGTTCAAACCCACCAGCCACTCCTCAGAAGGAAGATTGGGCAATCTACTTCCATAAAGATACCACCTCGAAACCCAAGGAGGGCACTATGAGTTGAGTTGACGACATCAGTGAGTTTGGTCTTTTTTTTTTTTTTTTTGTCTGTTAGCTGCTCAGCCCCACCGTGACCTGATCCGTAGTGCCCCCTGGCAGGCACTTGGCTTCCACTAGCTCAGCAATACACTTCAGAACATTATTATTACTGTATTATTATGTTAAAGATGTGTTAGTATATCTCAGAGTGTTTATTTAATGTTTTTTTTATGCATAGAAAGTACACCATATTATATGTACAAGTTTCCTCTGCTGTAAGAATGTAAAGCATTTCTATGAAACCTGTTAGTAAGCCAAAATGGCATAAGGCGAAGAAGCAATTATCATTAATTTATATGGGAGAATTTCTTGAGCTTTCTCAGACCCAAAAAATATCTACTAAATCACACCAAGGTAAAAAAAAAAAAAAAAAGCCTTACTGCAGACAAGTTGATCCTGACTCATAGCGACCCCTCCTTGGGTTTCCAAGGTGATATATCTATGGAAGTAGGTTGCTCAGTCTTCCTTCCAAGGAGTGGCTGGTGGGTTTGAACCACCAGCCTTCTGGTTAGCAGTCAAATGCTTTGGGCACTATGTCATCAGAGCTCCCTCAGGATGTCCACTGCTTCTTTACTCACTTGGCTACAAACCAAATTCTTAACACTAGTTTTGCTTCTCATCTTTTTTCATAAAAGCAAAAATCCTCTTCAGATTTCTTTCATTTAGTGACAATAGGTACTAATGTAGGTCTTTCATAAAAGCAAAGTGAAAACAATGTAGGTCTTTTGTAAAAGTGGCCTTTCAAAAAGCAGGATACACCTGTACTAAGATACGACACCATACCTAACTGTTCTGATTTACATACAAATTCGAGTTAGGCAGACTTAGAAGTGGAATTCATTCATAATCTGGGGACTGCCTATATATTATATTTTCTCTCCTTGTTTATATTGGTACCATAATTATTTAATCTGTGGTTAAAATATATAACAATTGAACAAAATTTGTTTTCTATTCTTGCCCAAACTCTTGCAGATTCTTAACAATTACTTTTTTCTCTGTTTGTAGCCTTAACCTTTCTTCTTGACTTTTGTAAAAGTGTTTTCGGACATTTTAACATTAAGGGACTCTGATGAGGAGCTCTGGTAGCATAGTGGCTAAGGCATTTGACTGCTAACCAGAAGGCTGGTGGTTCAAACCCACCAGCCACTCCTAGGAAGGAAGATTGGGCAATCTATTTCTGTAGTGGTACTGCCTTGGAAACCCAAGGAGGTGTCGCTATGAGTTGGGTCTGACTAGATAGCAAATAACAACACAACAACATCTGTAATAAGTCTTTTAAGAAAGCAAAATGTCATTTAAAAGACTAGAAAGAAAGTCAAGACCAAAACAGATGTCAGAAGAGTCCTGAAACTTACTCTTGAACATAGAGTAGCTAAAGTGATTGGGGGGCGGAGTGTGGGGAAGGAATGATAAAAGAGCTAAAAAGAAGAGTTCAAAAGGTGGGTTGAGAAAACAAACTATTGTAATGAAGTGTACAAAGACCTGGAACTAGAAAATCAAAAGGAAAGAACACCTTGGCCTTTCTCAAGCTGAAAGAAATAAAGGAAAAAGTCGAATTGCAAGTTGCGCTGTTGAAGGATCCTATGGGCAAAATATTGAAAAACACAGGAAGCATCAAAAGAATATGGAAGAAATACATAGAGGTAATATACCAAACAGAATGGGTCTGTGTTCAATATTTCAGGAGGAAGCATATGATCAAGAATTGATGGTACTGAATGAACAAAAAATGGCAAAAAAATATAGGCTCCAGGAATTGATAGAATATCAACTGAGATGTTTTAACAAACAAGTGCAACTCTGGAAGCTGTCTCCTCTAAAGCAAGAAATTTGGAAGCTACCTACCTGGCCAACTGACTGGAAGAGATCCATATTTGTGCCCACTTTAAATAAAGGTGATCCAACAGATTGCAGAAATTACTAAACAATATCATTAATATCACATTCATGTAAAATTTTGCTGAAGGAAATTAAAAAATGGCCACAGCAGTACATCTACAGGGAACTCGTCAGAACAGCAAGCCTAATTCAAAGAATGACATAGAATGAGGGATATCACTGTTGATGTCAGATAGGGATCTTGGCTGAAAGCAGAGAATACCAGAAAGAAGTTTACCTGTGTTTTATTGACTATGGAAAGGCATCCAACCATGTGGGTCATAACAAGTTATGGAAATATTGCAAAGAATGGGAAT